TAGAGAAACAAGTTAGAGAAGAGAAGAAAAAGTCCTACCAAAAGAAGAAATACATACAAGAAAAGGAGAAAGATGTTGAGGACAAGGAGAAACAGCCCTGGAAAAAGGAGAAATTGGGCCAGGAAGAGGAATATTTGTCTAAAGAAGGAGAGGAACTATCTGTGCAGGAGGAAAAACAGGTATTAGAAAGTGAGAACATGACAGAACAAGAGAATATATTGGCCCAAGAAAAGGAGAAATGGTTAGGGAAAGAGGAAAAAGAGGCCCATAAAAGGAGGAAAAAAATCCAAAAAAAGAAAAAACAAGCTAGGAAAGAGGATGAACAGGAGAAACAAGACCAGAAAGAAAGGCAGGCTCAGAAAGAGGAGAAAGAGGCTGAGGAGTATAAACAACCAGCCTTGGAAAAACAGAAACCAGACCTAAAAGAGGAGGAAAAGGTTGGAGCAATGGAAAAATTGTCAAAACAAAAAGATAAAGAGGCCTGGAAAGAAGAGAGGAAAGCTTGGAAAGAGAAGAGAAGGTCAAAGAAACAGGAAAAGATAACTGAGGGGAAGAAACAACAGCCTTGGAAAAAAGAGAAGCTGGAGTTAGAAGAGAAAGAACAAGCTGGAGAGATGGATAAATGGTCACAAGAAGAAAAGAAACAGGCCAGGGGAGAAAAAAGATGGGCCCAGGAAGAAAAGAGAGGGGCTTGGAAAGAGAGACAAACTTGGGAAGAGGAGAAACGAGGTCGAAAAGTAGAGAAAGAGGCTGAGGGAAAAAAACAACTGTCCAAAGTAGAAGTGAAACTGGCCCCAGTAGCAAAGAAAAAGATGGAAGCTGAGAAAGGGTCCCAAAAAGACAAGAAACAGACCATGGAAAAAGAGAAATGGGCCAAGAAGAAGGAGAAATGGTTTGGGAAAGATGAGAAAACAACCGAGAAACAAAAACAGTGGACCAGGGAAAAAGAGAAACAGACACAGAAAGAGAGAATAAGGGGTCAGAAAGAGGAGAAGTGGTCTCAGAAGGAGGAGAAAAAGGTTGAACAGATAAAACAACGGACCTGGGATAAACAGAAATTGTCCTTCAAAGAGGAGGAGCAGGCTAGTGAAATGGAGAAACAATCCCAGGAACAAGGGGAAGAGATCAAGGGCAAAAAGGAAAGGTTATTGGAAAAGAGACTGAGCCAGAAAGACAGCAAATTGGCCAAGGAATGGAGGCAAAGTGCTGACAAAGAAAATACAATAGCTAAAGAAAAAATTACCATAACTGAGAGAAATAAAAAAATACCCCAAGAAGAGAAAGGAATTATGAGGCAAAAAGATAAATTGTCTCCGGAAGAGAGGAGATTAGTCTATGATAATAGAACCAAAGAGAGGGATGTCACCAAGAGAAAAAAAGAGATAATAATCAAAGAGGAGAGGGTCCAGACATTGAAGAAACTGGATATGGAAAAGAGGATTCATTCTGACAAAAATGAGATTAGTTCCAGGGAAGAGAGTATATGGATGAAAGAGAGTCCAATGTTAAAGAGCCTGGCTCGGATAATTAAAGAATTAAGTAGAGCATTTTTTAAGGAAATAATCAAAGAAGATAAAGAACTGACTCAGAGAAAGAGGAAATTAGAAGAAGATAGCAGAATGGCAAGCCAAGAGAGAACACTGACTGATGAAGAGAGGTTGGAGGAGGGCCAAAGATTGATAGAAAGGGTCATTGAAAGGATACTGTTAGATAAAATCCAGGTAGAGAGAGAGGTCCAGGAGCAAGATAGCTTAGAAAAAAGGCATCTAGAGGAGCTTCTGAAGAGAATTCAGGAGAATGAACCAGAAAATATCCAGCTGAAGTGGTTATTAGAGAATATCAGAGATATACTGTTTGAGGAATTATACAACAGCTTGACTGAGAAAGAAAAAGAAGAAAGTCTTACTAAGAAGGAGAAAGACCAGGAGAGCCTGACTGAAGAGGGGGAAGAGGAAGAGATACAGTTTATAAAGAAGAAAGAGAAATATCCGATAGAGAAGAGGAAAAAGGAAGGAAGCTGGAGTGAAGAGAAACTGGAGAACTTGGCTAAGAAGCATAAGGAAAAGAGTTTGGCACAAAAAAGGAAAAAGGAAAAGAGATTGATTAATGAGAAGGAAAGGCTGACTAGGAGAAAAAAGAAGGGTCCAAGTGAGGAAGAGTACCTGGGCAAGGAGGAAGAGATGCATCTCAGTGAGGAGGAAGAGGAGAGCCTGAGTGAAGAGGAGGGGGAGGAAGAGAAAAGCCTGAGGGAGGAGGAGGAGGAGGAGGAGGAGATGGAAAAGTTAGAGAAAAAAGAGGATGAAAAGGAGGAAAGAGAGAAGGATATGGAGAGAGTATTGAAAACAGAGCTCTCAAAGGAAAAAGTGAGCTTATTCAAGCTAGTGATGGAAGGTGAAGATCTTGCTGAGAAAAAGGAGGGTGCACCTAAAAGGGAAATGCTTTTTCAAAGAGAGAAATTGCTTGATGGAAAGAGAGACCTCAGACCTATGGACAAGGCTACGTGGCCAACAGTTCTGAAGAGCCCACTTAAAATACCACTCCAGGTAGCCCTAGGAAAAAAAGTCATGAACCTGAAAGTCTTAGAGGATCATTTAGATTTTGAAGGACAGGGAAGTCAACTTCTTGGAGAACACTCCTTGACAAGTTCATGGGGAAGACAAGGGGACATACTCTTGGAGAAAGCCAAGGATTTGTTTTTACAAGTCATAAGAACAGTCTTAGAGATGCAGATCCCAGAGTCCCAGTTATCTGATGTTATCATGGAACCGCAGACATCTGAACACAGGTCCACAGGTGACAGGTGGAAGGGGGTCTTGAAGTATCTGGGTTCCCAAATGGAGAAACCTGAGGGCCAAGCCCCAGCCCCGCTCTCAGCCCTTGCCTTTTCACCTGAAGTGCCAGCTGAAAAATACCAAAGGCCAGACTACTCAGAAGCAAGCCTCTCAGATAAAGATTGGCTTAGCAATGTCTTAATCATGTTGGAAGCAGGAGAACAACTTTCCAAGGACAATTTCCATCGACTGAACCGAATCCTCAGAGACTTCAATTCAAAGCAATGGTGGAAGTGGATCCATCTGGCCAATCTTAAGGCCATTGCTAATCACCTCAGGCAGAACCTGGACTTAAGTCACACAAATAAATCTCAACCATATAAAAATGGTTTGAGTCCAGTGCACTTAAAAGTGATCCCTCCAATTAGAAGACAAGAAAAGGAGAGCTGGCTGGAGCCATTGCCTATTCCAGAACCAGTGTTACCATTAGCCACTAAGAGGCTTCAAAGCCCACAGGCTCTCAGTTGGCATCTCTTAGCTGAATCTTACAGGAAGAAGCAGACACAACCGCTATCCACTGCTGTCAAGGAGATAAAGGACCTTTATCCAATCAGAAGACATGTTTCTACAGCTCTGTATCCCTCTGTAGACAAAAAATCTCTCACTGTGAAATACCAGAAGGACTTTGCCAAATTTCCCAAGGCAAAAAAGAAAGCATTTTCCATCCCTGCACCAGTGTTACCATCAGCCACCAAGAAGATTCAATCCCCAAAGTCTGTATATTGTCACCTTTTAGGAGAACCTTACAGGAGTGAGCGGGCACAACAGTTATACAATGTTCTCAAAGAGATGGAGATGCGACATTTTTATCCTGCCACAAGAGACATTTGCAAAGGTGTCCATGACTCTGTGAACAAACAAACCCTAGCACTAATGTTTCAGAAGGACTTCTGGGCTTTTAAGTGTAAAAGTCAGCCCCCCAAATTGCCCAGGTTGGAGAAGAAGACACAGCCCATCTCCAAAAAAAAGGAAGACATACCTCAATGGGAAACATTTGTGGCCCTGTTCTATGTCTTGCGGATGTTGCAGCAGCGATATGCAAAAGACAGTACTACTTGGATGGAACAGTTCTACCAGCTCATGGACCTGTACCAACTTAAGTCCCCTCGAATCCAGAGACTACTATTAGAGTTGCTACACAGAGAGAAACCTCAACCCCAAGAGACAACCTACAATGAGGCCTTGAAGACCAAGAAGCTAGTACTTGGTGAGCGGTTGTTCTACCGCCTGTTTTGTGGTGGTTCTCATGCTCCTGTAGGCCCTCTAGAATTCCAGGAGGTGGTGCCCCTTCCTGGGCAGAGTAAGGTGTGTACTCTCCAACCTGTGGGCATTGCCCGGTATGGGTTCCTAGAACTTGCCTGGAAAAGCCTACCGCAAATCAATCCTTCCCTATTGAGAGATCTCTGATTTGCCCTAAATAATATGAGGATTTTGGGACCCTACTGGAAAATGAAAATCTGTGGACCACAGATTTTAAGCCTTTTTACCTGGTGCCAACTTAGAGACGGGGGACTTATTTTCATTCAGTCCCAGAAGCCTGGTGTGTGTTGAATAAAATGACATTTCTTATTTATAACAAGTACTCTGGCTTGTTTCTCTTCCTCCCCAAGTTTAGAATCCCTTGGAAAGTGGCCAGAGGAAACAGATACCCTTTGTTATAAGAGGGGGACAAATTGTTTAGTCAGAACCTTTTGATAGAAAAGCCTGCTCTAACACTTTTTTTCTCTTGGCTGCTAGCTCCTTCCTGGGAAGGAGAGTGTATGGTACGGTGGGCTTAGCATTACTTTACGCACTGCAGTTGAGTTACTTAATATCCAGTGGGTTTCAACTGCCAGCCTTCTGGTTAGCATTCAAATGCCTTAGGCACTACACACCAGAGCTCTTTGTTTTATAAGCAGTGCAGTGAATTACTTAGTATTGCCCTTCTAGTTGTAGTCCTGTTTTGTGATGCATTGTAAATCCTAGCTACTATGCCTGTGGTTATGGTCCCAGTTTGTAGTGAGTTGTCCATTATGCTAATAAGGCAGGATTACAGTGGGTTGTATCTTGAGTCTCACCTTACTAGATGATGTGACTCAAGTCACCACCCTTAGTTTCCTTGAGGGTATGTTTATGAATGCTCTGGCAGTTTACTCTCTTGCTCAGGATACTGCATCTGGTTCATCTGACCCCTGGTTTGGGGGGCTTGAGCTAGCAGCCATCTGACCTGCCAATTTGGATTCATCAGCCCCTGCAACCACATGAGTGAGCAGAATCTTCCAGACCTACACCTGATTCATGGATTTGGGACTCGCCAGCCTCCACAACTGCATGAGGCATTCCCTTAGCAGTTCTTGAGTTCTGTGAGACATTACAGTGAAATGTGGAACCATAAGATGGTAGGGAGAGTCCTGAGTTTTGAGAAAATCAGTATCATCAGTCAAAACAAGGCCAGGAGCTGACTGTGGATAAAACCATTAATTGCTCATCTGCAAGTCCAAGTTGAAGCTGAAGAAAATTAAAATAAGTCCATGAGACCCAAAATACGACCTTGATTATATCCCACCTAAGTTTAGAGACCATCTGAAGAGTAAATTTGACTTTTATTGTGACCAGCGTGACCAAAGACCAGATGAGTTGTGTGATGACATCAAGACTATCACACTTGAAGAAAGCAAAAGGGCATTAAAAAGACAAGAAAGGAAGGAAAGACCAAAATGGATATCAGAAGAGACTCTGAAACTTGCTCATGAATGGAGAGTAGCACCATCCCAAGATTGTCAAGCAACACAGCAGCCCACTAGTCAGAGTCCAGAAACAGTCTCAAAATCAGCAGACAACATGGCAGCCACTAAGATGAAGCCTCAGCCAAATGCAGGATCCAGATGTGCCCAAAAGCGCAAGACCTTTCTCAAAGTGCCTTTTTATATACAGGAAGCAGACCACATCCCTAAGGTAGCTACTCAGCTGCTCACAACAGATTCCACCATGGAGTTGATTACCTCTCACCATGGGGAATCACTACATCCATTTGCCCAGCCACTCAAAACCAGGCACATAACCTTAAATACCACAACACCCTTGCCAGTATTTTTTCCCCCCAATATTGCTAATAGTGCTGAGGTGAGATAATATCTCATTTTTGTTTTGATTTACATCTCCCTAATGGCTGTTTTTCATGAGCATTGTTTCATGTGTTTGTTGGCTACCTGAATGTCTTCTTTGGTGAAGTGTCTGTTCATGTCCTCTGCCCATTTTT